CTGTTGGTATGACCTCCCAGGTATGACGATGTCTTTTGGTGAACACGTCTTCTTCTGGGGGTGTAAAACCTTGTTGGCATTCTCAGGACAATTTATTATTGTCTTTGAGCGATCCAAGGTTATGTCGGGAGTCGCACGTTTAGGACCACCCCCTTGCGGGTATGGAGTCCTAATGGGCTCCGAATGCTGATTTTGCTTAAGCCCAGACTTCGGAATCCAAACTTTGTAGAATTTTGGTGGTTCCTTGGCCACCGTTTTCTTGTTTCTTTCTCGTCTTTGTTGTGAAAGAGCACGGGCATAAGTAGCGTTTGCACGACGCTTTTGTATACGTTCTTTGAGGGTTGAGCGAGCCCTCTTGACCAAAGTCCATTCATCCGTCGTTAGTTTAGCAGAAATATGAGTGATTGGTTGTTGAGACAACTGAACCACTCGATGTATCCTCGACTCTAGGTCCGCGTGATAACGAACCCCGTCGGTTTGTTCCAAGGCCTTAGCTATTTGACGAGCGCGGCGCTGACGTTGTCTCTGACGAGCCCTCTTCGTCAGTGCCGGTGGGCTTTGATTCGATGACTTTCTAACTAGAGAAGAGTCATCGCGAGCAGAGATGTTGCGAGTAGAATTCTCAGCAACAATCAGGCGAGAGTCTTCATTTTGTGCCTTCTTTGGCATGTAAGTTTTCTTCAATGGTGAGATCCTCTTGTACTTGCGAGACAATGAAGATCTTGAAGAGGATGATGAGAGATATTCCTCAAACTTGGTTTGGTCGAATTCATATTCGACCATGGATTCAACTGGAATCTTGATCGGCTGCGACACGACGGTCTCGGCAGCGAGACCGTTGGCTCCTACTGTGGTCGCCGGTTTGTTTTCAGCAAAAGTTGACTCCATTGTCGATTCCATTAAACTTTGATTTGTTTACACAAAATTACAATGAAAATAAACAAAAATACAACTTTTAAGAAAATAACACAAAAAATGTTTATCAACTCCTGCTTTGTGGGACTTTGCCTGTACCGGGAGTGCTTTGGCTCGTTGACCACCGATTCACAGATCGTGAAGGTATTTGGGGATCTTTCCTTCGTTTATCGAAGTAAAGATTTGAAAGCGAATATCTTATCGATGTAAGATGTTCGCTTTTCCAAAGATCAAGTCTGAGCTTAGATCTCTAGGAATCACCAAATGATGCTTGTCAAAGGGTGAAAATTCTCTCTCTTCCTCAAAATCAACAAAAGCTCCAGTCTCTTCTGCTCCAAAATGCTCTCCGTCCTTTATTTCGTGTATAGGGAGGTATTTATAGGGATAGGAATGCACCACAGTTGAAACGGGGGCAAAATAACCGACCTGATGTTTTCTCTTTGGCCGCTGTAGTCTACACTGCCGCGGCTATTGGCGCGGTAGTGTAAGCTGCTGCGGCCAAAGAGGCAGTTACCAGCACGTTCCATCGTGTCTAAAACCGTTCTCTCACGACCTTTAACCACCTTTTTCGTGGTTTAACTGCTTGTCCACGTCAGCACACGTTCTATTTCTGATATGTCGCCACGTTGGCCTCAAAACTCATCATATAACTGTTGGACCCTAGAGGGGGGGGGGTGATTAGGGTCAAGAGGCTCTAATATGCAATTAAAAAACAGTACAAGCAAACCACAAAACAGTAATGCGATAAAAGAAAGAGAGATAGAGTTAGGAGTTCGTTATCCTTGACGCGCGATGTGTTAACGAGGTTCGGCCCTCTGGCCTACGTCCCCGCTCCCCACTCTCGAGGAGAAATCCACTACACACCCGGTTTGGAAGCCGGAACTTCGTCTACACAGCGATCTCCACAGATCTCTCTCACTACACAGTTTGATCTCACAGATCACACTCCCTCACAGTAGATCTCCACAGATCTCACTCACACAGCAGAAGAAAGAAATGCAAGAACCTCTCTTTACACAGCCCTTATAGCAAAGAGAAGGTATACTGAAGCTGGGAGGTGAATCACACTTGAAACAGAGAGAAAAACAGAGTTTTGAAAATTTACTCAGAAAACAGAAAAAGCTCTCTGGTTTTTCAAACGTTAGGGCTGAGGAAGAAGAAGAGGTCTGGGGGGGTTTATATAGAAAAGTTTAAATCATTTTAAAACAAAAACAAATCTTCCCAAATGAGATAATAATCTCTTCTTCAGACCCTCATCACAGACTGTGCCAAACACTAACAAGTGAAAGCACAGTAAACGATGTAAATGACCGTTTAAAAAAGTCGCGGCTGACCAGAGGCAAAAATCGGTTGACCGAAGGAAATTTCGGTCGACCGAAAAATGCCTTCGGTCGACCGACCGAAAAATTCGGTCGACCGCGAGAAGCTAAGGAAATTTGGTAAAACACTCAGAGACTCATCGGTTGACCGGCACGGTCGACCGATTAAAGATTGAAAATTCGGTCGACCGTACCGGTCGACCGACGACACTCTGGAAACATACTGAAGAAAGGTCATCGGATCGGTCGACCGGACCGGTCGACCGATTTCTGATATTTTCTGAAATCTGATTTTTGACCAACTTGAAATATTTGCAAAATATTTATTTGACCTCTGAAAATTCTGAAACTTTGTAAAATGTTTTTAATACTAAAAACAAACTGCTTGGAAAAAGAATTTTGCAGATAGGTACTCATACTTGTGAAAAATAGTATTTTGTGAAAAACGCTTAAAAACATAAGTATGAAAACGTGTGTGTGATTCCCAATAGCTTCAAGTAAACTTCATATTCGATCTCTTCAGTGACGATGATCTTAATCGGCTGCGACACTGCGGCCTCGGCAGCGAGGCCGCTGGCTCCCACTGTGGTCGCCAGTTTGTTTTCAGCGAAAGTTGACTCCATTGTCGATTCCATTAAAACTTTGATGTGTTTACAGGAAATTACAATGAAAATAAACTAAAATACAACTCTCGAGAAAATAACACAGAAATTGTTTATCAACTCCTGCTTTTGTGGGACTTTGCCTGTGCCGGGAGTGCTTTGGCTCGTTGACCACCGATTCACAGATCGTGAGGGTGTTTAGGGATCCTTCCTTCGTTTATCGAAGTAAAGATTTGAAAGCGAATATCTTATCGATGTAAGATGTTCGCTTTTCCAAAGATCAAGTCTGAGCTTAGATCTCTAGGAATCACCAAATGATGCTTGTCAAAGGGTGAAAATTCTCTCTCTTCCTCAAAATCAACAAAAGCTCCAGTCTCTTCTGCGTGTGTAGGGAGGTATTTATAGGGGTCTCAGTGCACCACAGTTGAAACGGGGGCAAAATAACCGACCTGATGTTTTCTCTTTGGCCGCTGTAGTCTACACTGCCGCGGCTATTGGCGCGGTAGTGTAAGCTGCTGCGGCCAAAGAGGCAGTTACCAGCACGTTCCATCGTGTCTAAAACCGTTCTCTCACGACCTTTAACCACCTTTTTCGTGGTTTAACTGCTTGTCCACGTCAGCACACGTTCTATTTCTGATATGTCGCCACGTTGGCCTCAAAACTCATCATATAACTGTTGGACCCTAGAGGGGGGGGGGTGATTAGGGTCAAGAGGCTCTAATATGCAATTAAAAAACAGTACAAGCAAACCACAAAACAGTAATGCGATAAAAGAAAGAGAGATAGAGTTAGGAGTTCGTTATCCTTGACGCGCGATGTGTTAACGAGGTTCGGCCCTCTGGCCTACGTCCCCGCTCCCCACTCTCGAGGAGAAATCCACTACACATCCGGTTTGGAAGCCGGAACTTCGTCTACACAACGATCTCCACAGATCTCTCTCACTACACAGTTTGATCTCACAGATCACACTCCCTCACATTAGATCTCCACAGATCCCACTCACACAGCAGAAGAAAGAAATGCAAGAACCTCTCTTTACACAGCCCTTATAGCAAAGAGAAGGTATACTGAAGCTGGGAGGTGAATCACACTTGAAACAGAGAGAAAAACAGAGTTTTGAAAATTTAATCAGGAAACAGAAAAAGCTCTCTGGTTTTTCAAACGTTAGGGCTGAGGAAGAAGAAGAGGTCTGGGGGGTTTATATAGAAAAGTTTAAATCATTTTAAAACAAAAACAAATCTTCCCAAATGAGATAATAATCTCTTCTTCAGACCCTCATCACAGACTGTGCTAATCACTAACAAGTGAAAGCACAGTGTTCGATGAAAATGACCGTTTAAAAAAGTCGCGGCTGACCAGAAGCAAAAAATCGGTTGACCGAAGAAAATTTCGGTCGACCAAAAAATGCCTTCGGTCGACCGACCGAAAAATTCGGTCGACCGCGAGCAGCTAAGGAAATTTGGTAAAACACGCAGAGACTCATCGGTCGACCGGCACGGTCGACCGATTAAAGATTGAAAATTCGGTCGACCGTACCGGTCGACCGACGACAATCTGGAAAAAATGCTGAAGAAATGTCATAGGACCGGTCGACCGGACCGGTCGACCGATTTCTGATATTTTCTGAAATCTGAATTTTTGACCAACTTAAAATATTTGCAAAATATTTCACATCCCTATGATCACTCCTCATCATTGGTGTCTCTAGCTCTTTTCCACTCCTAAGTGTAATGGCATTGATAGATTCCTTGGGGTTGGTTTCAGGTTGTCCAGGAAACATACCCAAAGACCTAGAAGAAGAGTTAAATTGTTGGGCTAGTTGAGTGACCTGATTCTCTAGCATTTTGTTGTGGGTGGCTAAGGAGTCAACTTTAGAGGCTAGGTTCTTAATGGCATCATTCATGATCCTATTCTGATTTCTAAATTCTTCATTTTGCTTATTCTGGGATGTCACGAAATTTTCCATCAAGCTTTCTAAGTTGGACTTTTGGGGACTAGGGTAAGGGAGTCTAGGGGTTTGAAAACCTGGAGGTCGAAAATTTGAGTGAGGAATCGAGTTCAGGGGTGAATTTTTATAGGATAAATTAGGATGATTTCTCCACCCCGGGTTGTATGTATTGGAAAAAGGGTCCCCTTTCTGATTAAAATTATTCATATAATTAACATGTTCAGATAATGGTGCATCAGGGGAAGGGGAGTTTCCAATCTGACATTCCACAGCAGAATGTCCAATGATACCACATATTTCACAGTTAGTAGAGTTAGATGCTACTGAATTCATGCTCATCTTGTCAAATTTTTGAAATAAAGCATCTACTCTAGAAGCAATGTGGTCTAATGCATCTACATCATACCTCCCGCTCTTTTTGGGTAAAGAGCGCTCACCTGACCACTGGAAATGATTCTGTGCCATATCCTCTATGAGTTGTTTTGCATCTCGTACACTTTTGTTCATCAATGCACCACCCGCTGCAGCATCCACGGTCATCCTTGTGTTGTAGAGAAGACCGTTGTAGAAAGTGTGAATTATGAGCCAATCCTCTAACCCGTGATGTGGACACATCCTTAGAAGACCCTTGTACCTCTCCCATGCATCGTACAATGACTCCCCTTCTTTTTGAGTGAAGGTTGTTATCTGATTTCTTAATTGGGCTGTTTTGCTCGGAGGGAAGTACTTAGCAAGGAACGCTTCTGAGAGTTGGTCCCATGTAGTGATGGAGCCCGGTGAAAGTGATTGCAGCCAAGCCCTTGCCTTGTCTCTTAGTGAGAAGGGAAACAACCTTAGCTTGATTGCATCATCCGACACTCCATTCATCTTCAAGGTGTCACAATACTCCAGAAAGATTGAGATGTGGAGGTTTGGGTCTTCGGTTGGAGTGCCTCCAAATTGGTTTTGCTGAACCATGGAGAGGAGTGAAGGCTTGAGTTCAAAATTGTTGGCAGCAACATTAGGCTTCAAGATGCTAGATTGGGAGCTATGGGTGGTTGGTGATGCAAACTCCTTCAAGGATCGGTCTTGATTGCCTTGGTTTTCTTGGTCTCCCATGGTGTTTTTGCTTTTCAAATTATCCTTTGTTTCTCGTGCCTTCTTCCTAATATGACGCAAGGTCCTTTCAATCTCGGGATCACACTCGATTGGTTCTCCAAGTCGTAAGGATCTGGGCATACAAGGGTGCCTGCACTAAAAAAACGAACAAGTCAAACGAAAAAAAAAAATAAAAAAAAATAAAAATAGAATAAATGAAAGAAAATGTCTAGTCTAGTCAAACAATGAAAAAGTCAATATTAACAATGCCGAAGTCCCCGGCAACGGCGCCAAAAACTTGTTCACTCAAATCCGCAAGTGCACGGATATCGTTGTAGCGATGCAAGGTCGTATCCTCAGGGACTTCGTTGTTAATTACTGATTTTCACTATTTTGTGACTATCTAAACCAATCGTGTTAAAAAGTATGATTTTTGATTATCAATAACGAATACGCTAGCTAGTATCAACGACGAATTCACTCAATTAAAAGGATCTAGGATTGAACTTCGGTTTCAACTCTAGTTCGAATCAACAAATTAATCAATTGTTATCGAATCTCTCATTGCATTAAGAACGACTAACCTATGATAACTATTAGTCTCTTTCGATGACTAAAAGTCGCGCCTAATTCAGCCTAACAATCTATTTTCATGGTGTTAAACCAAATTAAACCCATTAAGTTCTTGTTAATCCCTCATGTTCTCAAGAATATTAACCTACTTTCGTGATCAATTAATTTTTGTTCAATTACTATTTTCCGGCGTTAATCTAACCTTTCAGTTCAAATCAACATCCTAAAAGAATTAAATCAGTGGCCAATTGAATTAACCCTAGGCAATTAGATACTAGTAACTGAATAATGCAAATCGAACAATCAATAACAACAACAATCAGTTCATTAATTCATAACCATGGCCGAACCTAGTTCAATCCCAGATAAGACAATTACTCACACATAATTGAAATAGAAAACATGATAACAATATATAAGATCATAATCATAAACTAAAAATTGAGATAGATCAGAAAGATAAACCGTAGTGTTGAAGTTGCACACAATTCTCCACAAATAGCAGGTTCCAAATCAAAAGTAAACTAATCTAAGAGTTTTTAGAGAGAAGAAGAGAAGAAGAAAGAAAGAAAAATCAAGATCTCCAGCCTCTGGTCCTTCTCTGATGCTTCAGGGCGTCTCCTTTTAATTCTTTTACAAAAACGTGTTGAAAGATAACTTCAAATAATGCTCCAGATTACGTGATAACTGACTGCTGTTATCCAACACGGCTGTGCAGATCAACACAACCAGGCTGTGTTTAATTCTGTTTCGCTCTGCTTTCTGGGCTTATCTTCTGTAATCAACACGCCTGTGTTGTTGAACACTGGGTGACCGTGTAGCCACTTTTCATGCATTCCTTGACTCCTTCTTGACTCCGAATCCGCGCTAAGCTCCAGTAATTCCTACACAATATATAAATAGAGCAGTAAACAAGAACTAAGGAGCTTAACATGGCCAAAATGCAAAGAAATACATCAAATAACAATGAATCCATAGGTGAAACATAGTCAAAATATAGATAATATTCATGTTTATCAGTCATATCTCTGGTTCTCACTTAAAACTTTTATCTGAATCTAGTGTATTAGAAAATTTAAAATTCTCTACTTTATCAAACTGTACTGGTATTGATTAGCTAAACAAATTGCCCTACTATTTTCATACAGTAACAAAATTGCTTTAGCCCCATTTGATTTGATTCATTCTGATATCTGGGGACATGCCCAATTACCATCATTATCTGGTTATCGATATTATGTTAGTTTATTGATGACTATTCTTGCTACACTTGGATATATCTCATGCGTGCTCGTTCTGATATTTTAAATATTTATAAAGACTTTACAAATATGATTCACATCCAGTTTCATAAACGTATAAAAATATTTTGCTCTGATGGTGCTTGTGAATATATTTCTTCGTTAATGAAATCTATTTTAAAATCACATGGCACTCTCTCTCAGCAATCTTGTCTACACACTCATGAACAAAATATTGTTGCTGAGAGAAAACATCGTCACATTCTCAACACCACTAGAGCTCTTCTGATATCAGCATCTGTACAAAGATATCTCTAGCCAGAAGCACTTCTAACTACTATTTATCTTATCAACATTTCTCCATCTTCTATATTAGCTGACACCTCTCCATTTTCAACTTTTTAAGTCTCAGTTTCGTTACTCTCTTCTTCGTACTTTTGGATGTGTTTGTTTTGTCATGCTTCCAACTCATGAATGAGATAAACTATCTCCACGCACTGCATGATGTATCTTTTTGGCTATAGAACCATTCACAATGGGTATTATTGTTATGAACCTACCACTCGAAGGCTTCGTATTGCCCGTCATGTGATCTTCTTTGAGAATATTTACTATTATACTACTTCATATTCAGATCTCTCCTTCCTTCAACCCCTTCGTTACCTTCCACTACTATACATGTATCATGACACTTGTACCTTCGTTCGCTCAACCGACTCCCTCATTCACTCTAATGACATCAAACAATAGTGCTCTTGATTCACGCACACCTCCTGGACATCCGCCCACTATATCCCCTTTGCAGCAAGATACTCCTACTGATGTCCCCTCTACATCTGTGCCAGCTTCTCCCTATGTGACTCCTCTCCCTCGCCAAAATCCTCCACGAGATCATCATCCCCCTACTCGGTATGCTCAATGTGTCGCTATCACATATTCTCCTGAGTTTGTCTCTTTTCTTGCTGTTATTCACTCTATACCTGAACCTAACTCATATTCTGAGACAGTTAAGTATCCAGAATGGCAACAAGCAATGACGGAAGAGCTGGAGGCTTTTCGTCGGACTAATACTTGGGACATTGTTCCTCTGCCTTTCGGTGTTAAACCGGTAAGCTGCAAATAGATTTATAAGGTTAAGACTCGATCTGGTGATTATTGAGCGGAACAAAGCTCGTCTTGTAGCTCGGGGATTCTCACAAGAGTATGGTATATATTGATTATGAAGAGACTTTTGCTCCTGTTGTAAAAATAACATCCATTCCCACTCTCATTGCTGTTGCAGCTGCAAAACATTGGCCTTTGTATCAAATGGATATTAAAAATACTTTTTTTAATGGCGATCTGTCTGAGACAATGTACATGCAGCCGCCTCCTAGCTTTCCTACTCCTCCAGGACATGCCTGCCGTATTCGTCGTGTTATATATGGTCTTAAACAGGCTCCTCAGGCTTGGTTTGAGCGTTTCCAGCAATCTCTTCTTTCTATTGGTTTCAATGAAAGCCTAGCTGACTACGCTCTATGTTATCGATCCTCGGCCTCCGGTACAGTCATTCTATTACTTTATGTTGATGACATGATAATCACTGGGAGTGATTCCTCTACCATTACTTGGTACAGTCATTCTATTACTTTATGTTGATGACATGATAATCACTGGGAGTGATTCCTCTACCATTACTTCCTTAAAGCAACATCTTCAGAGATGTTGATGACATGATAATCACTGGGAGTGATTCCTCTACCATTACTTCCTTAAAGCAACATCTTCAGAGATAATTTGAGATGAAGGATCTTAGATCTCTTCGTTACTTTTTGGGTATTGAGGTTGTTTCCTCCTCTCGTGGCTATCTTCTCTCTTAGCAAAAGCACATTGCACATATTCTTGAGCGTGCTACTCTCAGTGATCCTTCCATTGCTACCACTCCTCTCTCCACACCGATGAAAATGAACTTGAAGCTTCGACATGATGATGGAGATCCCTTATCTCAGCCTACTCGATACCGGGAACTTGTCGGAGCATTGATTTATCTTTCAGCAACATGTCCAGATATCACCTATGCAGTACACATCTTGAAACAGTTTGTCAGTAGTCCAACTTTCATTCACTATGCAGCTCTCATTCGGGTTCTTCAATATCTTCGTGGCACTATAACTCGATCATTATTTTTTCATGCAGACTCTTCTTTGTCTATTCGTGCATATTCTGATGCTGGATGGGCTGATGATGCAGATACCCGACGTTTCACTACTGGCTTTTGTATTTTTCTAGGTTCATCTCTCATCTCTTGGCGTAGTAAGCGTCAAGCCGTTGTCTCTTGTTCTAGTACGAAGTCTGAGTACAGGGCGTTGGCAGACACCATAGTTGAGTTGAAATGGCTCCACACACTTCTGCGAGATCTTGATGTCTTTGTTACTTCCCCTATCACTTTATACTGCGATAATCAGAGTGTCATCTCCATTTTTACAAATCCGGTATTTCATGAGCGTACCAAACATATTGAGGTGGATTGAATGTGGTTCGATAGGAGCATGTTGCTGCAAACATTACACTCTCATATGTTCCCTCTAAGGAGATTTATTTACCAAGGCTCAAACTATTTATGTGTTTCGCTATTTCTTGTCCAAACTCTCGGTGTTCGATCCACCCTAAGTTTGAAGGGGAGTGTTAGAAAATATCATACCAGCCACCCTATAGCCGCCTCAGCCGCCTCCTAGACGCCTCAGCCGGCTCCTAGTGTGTAGCCGTCATCGCCTCCTAGTGTTTACTGATTGTGTGTATATATATCTTGTAAATCTGATAATCAAGTATAGAGTTCTCTTCAATACCAAATTAACAAAAATCATAACAAATACATGAAGAGCTCTGCAAAAAAGGAACAACAATAACAAATCTCTTTGCTTTTACTGAATCAGGGATTAGGGAAAAAAACACGAAAAAAGCGGAAAAAAATCATGTGACCAGATAAATTGGTCCATATGCTTGGACGCCAGAAGGAAACTTATGCTGGCTTAAGCACATATACGGAAGCTCATTATGATCTTCTACTCTTGTCGGGGTGAAACATTCAGCAAGAGGCCCTGAAATTGATCGACTATTCGAAACTGAACTCTTTCTCCGCTGCATAACTCTCGATACTCCATCGTTCAGTGTCACATTCTGATTCATCAAACTCTTCTTGGTCTTCAGTTTTGACCACCATGAGCATAGAGATCTTTTCCATGAGTTCTCGGTCACCTTTGGAGGTTCAATTGAGTCTGATGAAGGAAATGAAGTTTCTTGGTTGAAGTTGATCGCGTTCTTCCTTGCTTCTTCTAAGACCTGTTCAAAATGTCCATAAAAATCACTAATGTGCAGCTATAATATAGAGTCACTTCAATAATTAATTTCTAGGTGCATTAATATATATGATTCATAGAGTTAAAAATATATAGAGGGAGAACATAACAAGTACCTGATAGAAATCCAGCTGAGGATCATAAGCATTCTCAATGTAGCTCCCCTTCTCAAACTTTGGGAAAGTAGGAGATCTCATCATCTCACTTCTTGAAAACTAGAAATAAGAGAATGAAGATTATCCAGTCACATAAATTTGTAGGCTTTTTTGACAAGATATCAAGCCTCCAACTAAAAGAGATTCAGTGGTTTTTGTTGCGTTGTGGGCGGTTGGAAACTTGCAGTAGCGGAGAGAACAAAGCGTATGCAATCTAAAGAAGAAGACACAGCAGTCTTCATCAATACATTGAAAGAGGAAAGAGGAACAGAACAAGTAAGAGTTCTAAAATTTTGCTATACCTTTAAGCAACCATTGTGATATAATGGCTTCTTTTAAGGATAGAGGGCATTATAAAAGAGGGACAACTTCAACCTTATAAATATCAAACTCAAAGATTTGGCTTGTAATGACAAAGACGATATTAATTAATTAGAGTATAGTTGTATTTCATTAAATTTATGAGGTTAATTAATCTTGTTATTGAGTAGGTATGTTGAGAGACAAAGTCATGTGGGTAGACACATGTGCCGACCCGCTAATGCGGGGATGTTAATGGGTATGTTGAGCTCAAACACTGTACTAATCATTGAAGGTCTTTTTAGCATGTTTGTCCCTCTAAACTTACTATTTGCATGTTCATTCGGGAAAACATAAAGCTGTAGCATTCACGCATGGGTTGCAAAAATATAAATTTGCACTACATGCATGTTCTTATGTACTTATGGGACTTTTTTTTTGGGATAAAAATAGGGCGAGATACCCTGTTAAAAGATATATTATATAGATTCCTTAGTGGCTATATCAGTTTTAGCAAATTGATGCCATAGCTATTAAATTAAAAATCAGAAAGATGAGCAGATATTTGTCGTCGCTCTTTACAATATTCCATTAAAACAGTGGGGAGACTATTTGAATAAAAACAAAGATGCACTGTTGGGAAAAGGAAAACCAAGTGTCAAAACATTATGAGCTGACATGCCCAGCTCAGTAGCTAACCAAACAAATCTGTGTGTCATAAACATGATAGAAAAACATAGAAATATTGTTCACATGTTAGAGAGAAATCAAGAGCTTCACATTCTATCCATGCTATCCCCACTTGATTAGAGAAGTTCTGCTACTCTCTTCTCCTTGATGATAATTTTCAGCTTATCCGGCCTTTATTTGAATTCTTGTTCAGAAAATAAAAAAGTGAGTCACGTTAGATACTTTTTATTTGTATTTATGAGTCTACGACGCATTAAAATCAAGTGCAAAAAACCCTCTATGTTCTATAGTTGAAATACTGCCTAGAAAATCAAAGCATAAATATCTGAAAACCACCTAAACGTCTAAACATGAGTAACAAAAATAGGTTGTCCTAAACATGAAGTACAAAATTGAAATAACAGGAAATAGTTTAAAACACAATGCTGTTGCGCGTGCGGCGGAAATTTCGGCAGCACTTTGGCAGCACAACAAGAGAGTCAGGTCACAATAGAAAATCTCGTTTCACAAAGGAAACAAGAACCTTAAGCAAAATTTCTCAACCAAGTGAAAAATCAGTTCTTCCTCTCATCAGTTCTAGGACTGACTTGTCGAGGGAACCTAAATAAACTATTACAAATCACACAAATAGCGAGACAACCAATTTTGTGTGGTTTGACAAATTGCCTACGTCCACGGGGAGAGGATGTGGGAGATTCAACTAAATCAAGGAGAATACAAAGAGTTACAATCTCACAAAACTCATAAACTAACCCTCAACCAAAGCTCTCAACTTGCTCACAATATCTCCCTCTCACAATGCTCAAAAGTCTCTCTATCTCTAATTATAACTCTTCTCTCTTTTGATGATTGATTCTAATCTCCATATATATAGAGAAACTAAAACCAAAACAGACTAGGAATTCTAAAACAAAAAACAAAACAAATTAGGAATCCTAATAACCTTATGTTACCAAAATAGATTAGGAATCCTAATAACCTCATGTTACTAAAATAGATTAGGAATACTACTATCCGACAAATGCGACACTAAATAAAGGTTGGAGAGAATATGTTATTCGAAATAAAGGGCGGAGAAAATATTGCGCACACTCCTTCAAAATGAAAACATTATGTGCTAATACAATATTATCACCGTGGCCTACAAAAATTGGGCAGATGCTTTAATAGCATCTTTCTTCAGAAATTCTACTATTTTTTCCATGAATTGTTTCAATTCCACGTCCGTCGTTTTTATAATTATGAAACATAGATTTAAATTAAGCAACTAGTGTTGGGAATTTTACGACGAAACCCCTAAACAGCAGAAACGTATTATAGAGAAAATACATTAAGATTTAACGAGGTTCGGCAATTGCCTACGTCCTCGGGAGCCACACAATAAATTTCTTATTAATCAAACAAGAATTTATAAACTTAGATCAGATCTCAAACTGAGATCTCTCAATAAATGCTAATTTATCACTGTAGCTACAGTAACAAATTCCGTTCTTAAATACCCCCTCTTAATTCTTTCTTCCCTTTAATCTCCCCTCAAAAGATTCCTCAAATTTCTAAGATCTGGAGGAACGGAAGAAAAAACGACAGAGGAGAAAACGCCGCCGCTGAAAATCTCGAGGAGAAGAACGCACAAAGCCTCGGCCTTGGGGTTTCCCTTTTATAGGGAAACCCTAGTTGAGCTGTCGACAGCTGGATCCGCCACGAGCTCGCATGGGTGGAGCTCGCCTGCAGCGCTTCGTCCTCGCCTGTAAAGGCCCCGAGCTCGCCTAAATTAGTCGAGCTCGCCTGCGTCGTCCAAAGCTCGCCTGGACTTCGCCAACTCCGCTTGATCGCGCCGTCCTCTCCTGAACTTCGCCTGCTCGAGCTCGCCAGAGTTGGGGTCGCCTGCAAGGTTTGATTCTTCACTCAAATCCAACGACTAGTTGGAAAGAAAATCTAATCAAGGATATCCCCCCTCCAAATTGTTTGACTAATTTAAATAGCTTGTGAACTAATTAAGCTCAATCTTAGCGCTAGATCAGCAACTTGTTTACATTTATCCATCTATTTCTTCAAGTAACAACGAGTACTAATCAATCCCTAGGAAGAAACCTTTCTAGATTGCACACAATGATGATCAATATCAGACCTACTTATTTGGACAATTCTTACATATACTTGCATTTCCATGAATATGAAGAATTTTATAAAGAAAGAATGACACATGACCTATCAATCAACATTATATATATAATCCTATGTTAGAAAAATTAGGAAAAAAGTGATAAACTGAAGGTTAAACACCTAAAAACAATACACAATCGGGTACTTTCTCAAAAACAATACATCATCAAGTAGTTTCTATTTTTATTCATCAATCAATCAAAGTAACATGTACATGCATCTTATGTGTCATTTGCCTATCTAGGACTTTGGGACTTGACCCGTTTTGGAATAGTAGATGACTTTGGGCTGTTCATATGTTTATTTGGTTGCTAGTATAGATCCTAGGTTTGAGCTGGCCCAGCGAAGTTAAGTAGCATAAGGCCCAATTAAGCTAATTGTCACGGTCATCATTCCGTACCGCGTTTCATCCACCGTCTTTGAAACCTCATACGCAAAATCATCCGGTCAAGAATCTCACTCTTATTTGCGGATTCAGGGAATAATGACAAAGAATTATATGGCAGTCTTAGACTTTTCTTTCCAACTAAACCCAAATTTCCCGCTCTCCTCTTCTTCGTCAAGCACATAATAATATAATGATTATAAGATAATTATCACTAGTGTGGCACTTGGTGCATGCCATGTATGCTCTACTTCCATATTTTATGCGCACAAGTTTTTCTTTTGTTTAGCTTCTACACGTGTATACTCAATCATATTGAAAACACCCCGCTCTCATGCATGCAGTAAGTTCTAAGCTAATTTGTACTCTCTCAAGATTGATCTTGAATGCTAATTAATTAATTAATTATATAATAAATGTAATCATGTAATCATAGAAACGCCTTATAGCTTATATCTAGTTAGCGCGCACCAGTCCGTGTTGCGGTAACGCATTAAAAAAAATCAGGGTGACAGCTTAATGTGTTCTGGACTTGTTCTCCTTTTGGATAGGTGAGTCTCAATTTATTTTTCCACCCAACATTTTGAGCTATCAAACAAGAAAGAAAAAAAAGATAGAAATTCAAAGCACTCTTCAAAATTTTATCCGATCAACTTTACATTAATTAGTTTTCTGTCAATATTTAATTTTTCGTCTCCAAACGCGTACAGATAATTACACATTTCTATTTCCAGCTTAAAAGGAATCAAAACCATTGATTACAATACCAACCCACACCAAGAAGTACACTGCAGAGGTTAGCGCACCGACGCGCATTAATATATCCCCTCGATTCAATTCTCCCTCCTCCTACCCCACTAACAAGTTTATAAACCCTCTCTCCCTCCTCCATCACCCATGCACACACACGCCCCTACTGTCAAAAACTGATCAGCACGCGACAAAACCATGAACCTCCTCTATCTCCTCCTCCCTCTCCTCCTCCTCCTCCTCCAGAACCCCACCTCAACTCTCTCAGCGACCCCACAAGTCCTCCTCTCCTCCTGCGCCGCCGCTCGCCACCCCGACCTCTGCTACTCCGCCATCTCCGCCTCCCCTCACCTGATCCCCTCCATCTCCTCCCACAACGACGTCATCCACGCCTCTCTCAACCTCGCCATCTCCTCCATCCAAAACTCCTCCTCCCACCTCCAAACCATCCCCCTCTCCTCTGCGACTCTCACCCGTCGCGAGCGCAACGCCCTCCAAGACTGCGTGCGCCTGTTCCAGGACTCGCTCGAGGAGCTTCGCCTCGCCGAAGCCGATCTCGTTAATGCTTCGGGGTTCGACGCCGTGGACGTCGAGTTCCTCATCAGTGGCGCCATGACTAACCACGAGACGTGCATTGATGGATTCTCGCACGATGAGGTTGATCGCAGGCTGCGAGCGAGGGTCCTCGACGGCGTTGATCACGTGATACGCATGTGCGCCAACTCTCTGGCGATGGTCAGAAATGGGACATCTCCGGTGTGTTCTTTACGCTTTTTTGTTGTTTTGTTCTGCTTTCCAGGAGTAATTATGTTTTTCTTTTTTTTTAACTCTCGAGGTTTTGTGATACGGTGCCAGCTCCGCATCTTATATTTATGTGTTATTTGAATGTACCAATTAAAGTCTATAATACTCTAAGGTATATTCTTCTTACAAAAATAATAATAATAATAATAAACATTTAGTAATGGCAATATCAAAGTTAAATTTTCTAGAATTTTTGGATAAGTTTTGGTCGAAAAAGCTTCACACTATCAAAGTCAAAAATAGTGTACACTTAATTAGTCCACTCATGTAAGAATCCCTTTGTTTATTAGGATTCGTATATTTCTACTTCACCTTGTAGTTTTGCTTTTTGTAGGAATGTTTTGTCAAATTATTATCGAAAATACCTCAGTGACTTCAAAATAGGGGAACCTAATAGGTGAGGAGTCGCGTGATGCACTATTCATGAATAGTGCATCACGGGACATGGATGCGATACATCATCTGTCCTATCCAGGATCTCCTATTTTAGGGTCCCTGTAGCAGCCCTCAATTATTAATAATTATTATTAATGAGACAAGAGATAATTAATGTGTACCAACCGTCATTTCTGAAAAAAAAATGTCTGCGGTGGTGCAGGCATCTAGGCTTCCGTCGACTAATTGGACGGAGATGTTAGAAGGGGAGGTGCAGGCGAAGGTGGAGGTCAACGTTACGGTGGCGGCAGACGGGAGCGGGGATTTTAGGACGGTGGGGGCCGCGGTGGACGCGGCGCCGGAGAAAAGTAAGAGTAGGTATGTGATTGAGATAAAGGAGGGGAGGTATGAGGAGTACGTGTTTGTTGGGAAGAAAAAGGTCAATCTAATGTTCGTGGGGGCGGGGAGGGGTAGAACGGTCATTAGTGGCAACAGGAGCGTGGCGGATGGGCTCACCACCTCCCAGACTGCAACTTTGGGTTAGTGCGTACGCAGCGCCTGTTTCCTGTTCATTAATTTAGCCTCCGTTAATTGCTCCATAAATGTATGTTTATTTAAGCTTTTGCTTGTAGTAATCACGGCGTGACATGCATGCATTTAAGTCACTAAATTCGGACCACCTACGTACATCGTCATTAATGTTTTTTGCTTAATTATTTCCCTCTTAAACATTAGCAAGTTCACGCGTAAATATTAAAATGCTAAATTGATATATGTAAAAGTTATCAACATCTTACCTAGTCAAAATGTAACACCTTACATTTGTTTCTGTTTTAAAAAAGACCAAGATCTGAAAGCCGTCAACTTTTAGGGCATCAGTTTAGTAATTCACCAGCTCAGCTTCTGACGTATGTAACAGTCCACTAGCAAGGCCAAGGGGACCCCCCGTAGGCCCGTACCCTAGTTTGTCTCCTCAATTTTCATGTTCCTCAAATCACGCCGGCCCGTCCTGTCATCAACGTCGTCCTCTTCTTTAATTTTTGCCCCAGTTTCAAACCTCATGTTGGCATTACTCATTAATGTACGTAGTATGCCCCTCCGAATATGGAAGCAACAACTGGCCTTGTAGACTTTGGGCTAGCTAGGCTGGGCCCCATCCACGTGACATCAGGATCATGCAATATCAGAGATGAGGCTATTTAGGGCCTCTTTGGTTATTTCCAAAAAAAATCCGAAATGAAAACTCCCTCTTGAAATGATATATTTCGGCACATTTCAAGAGTTTTCACATTTTTTTTTGTTTCGTAAAGAAAACTTCACATTTCATTGTCAAGTCACACAAACAGACAAAAAAAAGCCTCCATAGTAACAGTGCCTTGATTTCTATTTCTTATGTTTGTTTGAGAACAAGAAATCAAAAGGAAATGAGAAACCAGTGTATTAAATATTATGTTTTATTCTTCTTCACTATTCCAACAGTGCTTTTACTAATTAATAATTCAAAGATATGTTTTATTCTTCTTCACTATTCCAACAGTGCTTTTACTAATTAATAATTCAAAGAAGTGACATTTCCCAGTGTTTTCAGAGGTTGTGCTTTTACTAATTAATAATTCAAAGAAGTGACATTTCCCAGTGTTTTCAGAGGTTTTTGTTGTGAAAAGATATTTTTTGAAATTGTGATGTGACATCCTACGTGGCACTTCATTTCTTAAAATTTAAAAACGAAACAAACATGAGAAATGGAAAACTCCTGAAAACAAAAACTCATGTTACACTTGTTCATTTTTTGAAAGTTGAGGTGGCAACACATTTCCGGATTTTTTTAGCAAACAAATAGACCCTTAATTAAGGGGTTGCTTGGCTGGACGCAACTTACAAATGCGATGCTTAACTACTGTCGTGTGCCATTGTAATCCAGTTGCTTGGTTCAGTGTTTGAATTTTTTGTTAGGAATTTAACGCCTAAACCCCTAATTGCAACGGAAACGCAGTATAGAAAAGTACACCAAGATTTAACGAGGTTCGGCAACTGCCTACGTCCTCGGGAGCCACACAGATAATTTCTTATTACTTCTCTTTTCTCTCTCTTCTTAAATCCCCTTTCAAAACACTGTTGAAAAGTTGGGATTAAAATCGTTGCTGCGATTTGAGAAAGGAACGCTCCTGCGTTAAATGGGATCCGCCGCCAAGGAAGAACAAAGGGGGAAAAAAAGACAGCAAACCCTAGGATCGGGGTTGCTTATTTATAGAGGGGGATGACAGGCTGGCGACAGCCTGTCGCCAGCGATCTGCTCGGACGCGAGCATGGGAGGCCTGGACGCCGAGGTCGGTGCCAAAAACACCGAGGGTCGCGTCAACACCGAGGGTCGCGTCAGCACAAAAACAACCATCGCGTTCGCCTGAGGGGAGTTCGCCGTCGACTCCGTCACTGTCGTCGCCGCCATCCTGGAGCTCGTCGGAGCTCCTCCGCCGCCGGAGGTTTGTTTCCACCCCTAATTCTAACAATCTCCCACTTGGAGATCAAACCGACGCCAACAGACTATCTCATCAAGCTCCTCTCCTGTGTAGCTCCACCCTCATCATCTATGCATGAAGGCCAACTGAAGTTGCACGCAACTCCAGTTTCTGAAAGGTCGCTACCTTTGTCAACATATCCGCTGGATCCTTTCTTCCTTGGATATTCTGTTGAAATCCTTTAACAACTCGTCGGGCTCTGTATCTTCTGGAACCACCCTGTTCCTTCTTCACTCGATACACCCACTTGTTGTTGTGACGTGCCTTTTTCCCCATGGGCAACTCAGCTAGTCCCCATGTCTGGTTGGAGATCAGAGATTTCTTCTCTTCTTTCGCAGCAAACTCCCACTTGCTCGCATCTCCACTCTGACAAGCTTCATCAAAGCTTTCAGACTCTCCTCCATTTGTCAGCAACATATAATTCATGTATCTGCTGTTAGGCACAGGAGGACGAGTACTTCTCCTTAACATCGGAGCTGGTGCGTCGGGCTTCTGCGCACCATTCTGTCCAACAGTCTCTTCTGGCTGAGGACCTTCTGCATTGGGTTCTTCCGAGAGGTTATCTGGGACATCATCTGTATCTACAAATGTTGACTCGCTCTCTGAGTCACCGTCATCTGTTTTGTGCATGTCCTTATACATCACCTTCTCGTTGAATGTCACATCTCTGCACCTGATCACCTTCTTGTTTTCGTTGTCCCAAATGCGGTAGCCGAACTCGTCTTCACCATACCCGATGAATGTGCATTTCTTGGACTTGGGATCAGGCTCATTCCTGCCTTGATCACTTATATGCACATAAGCTACACAACCGAAAACTTTGAGATGTGAGAGGGTTACCTCCTTTCCGCACCATACCTCTTCTGGTATTCTGTGCTCCAATGGAACCGATGGACCTCGGTTGATCAAGTAAGCTGCTGTGTTGACTGCTTCTGCCCAGAACTGCTTCGGTAGACCTGACTGCATCCGAATGCTTCTGGCTCTCTCTGTCAACGTTCTATTCATGCGCTCAGCCACACCATTGTGCTGAGGCGTGCCGGGCACGGTCCTCTCCATTCTGATACCGTGCTCATAGCAGAACTTCTTGAATCTGGTGTCTTCATACTCACCACCATTGTCTGTTCTGAGTTTCTTTACCCTCAAACCGGTCTCATTCTCGACCATGGCTTTCCATCTTCTGAAAGCCTCAAACACTTCTGACTTTTTCTTCAGAAAGTAGACCCATACTTTCCGAGAGTGATCATCAATAAAAGTCACGAAGTAGTGTTTCCCACCAATCGACGCGGTGGTTGTTGGTCCCCAAACATCCGAGTGAACAAGCTCTAGCTTCTGCTTCCTGGGGGGTCTGCTACTTGCCTGAAAGCTAACTCTCTTCTGCTTTCCAAGTATGCATTCTTCACACACATCAATCTCTACTGATTGTAAACCTGGGAGTTTTCTCTTTGTGTGCATAACCTTCATCCCCTTTTCACTCATATGACCGAGTCTCTGGTGCCACAGCTTTGAAGTCTCATTGCCTGCTGCAACTGAGATCGAACAACGTGCACCTGCTGTCATATACAGGGTACCAGTCTTCCTACCTCTGGCAATCGTCATTGCGCCCTTCGAAATCCTCCAGTCATCTCCATGGAAAGTCGTCGTGTAGCCTCACTAGCCAGCTGGCTACTGGAAATTCAGTTCCTCTTCAGGTCCGGCGAATATAGCCTAAACATCCGTTCAGCCTCCCATCTGACCCATTCAGCTTAATTCTTCACTTACCACCTTGCAATAATGGCACATGCTTGATCGTCACCAAGATATACATTGTCCAAGGTTTCCGGGGATATTACTTCTCGAGGATTCTTTCTGAAAGTTAGCATGGAAATGCAGTGCCTCCGACTCAACACCCAAGACTCCTTCTTGCTCTCCAAAAGAGCCATATTCAGCGCATTCATCTCCTCCGAGCGTGGAGGCAATGTTCCACGTCTGCATTGCCTCCCATCCTCCGTGCACTCCTGCACTCTAGATTCTTGTAGTGCCCGGTTTCCCGCACTTCCAACACTCGATAGCCTATCGGAACTGTCTGGGGATTCCTGGATTTTGGATTCCTGTCATCTGTATCCATTTCCTCTGGTTGAACTTTTACCTCCTATGACCTGTATGCATTACTGAAGAGGTTTGTAGCTTCACTCCGACTCTCTCCGTCGAATCTCCTCACTGTGAGAACCAGATCCAACGTCGTCAAACTTCAACTTATTGCTCCCGCATGAGCTTACTCACAGCGCTGACCGTTAGCCGCTTCCAACTCTCTGGTAGGGAAGCACAAAAAGGCATCACGCTCGGAACTGTCCCTCATCAAACTCAATTATCATACTGTAACTCAATTGGGTCGTGACTGTATTGAGTTCATTGAGATGATGTGCTACCATGCACCTTCCGCCATTCGCAGGATTAAAACAACCGCCTCATCAATGAACTTTATTTTGCAGGCTGATGGCTTCTCATACATATTTGAGAGTGCTGCCATAAGACCTGCCGTGGTCTTCTCCTTCGCTATGTTGAACGCAACATTGCGAGTCAACGTCAATCTGATAACTCCGAGGGCTTGTCTATCTAGAAGGTTCCACTCATCTGCCTTCATAGAATTTGGCTTCTTCCCCGATAGTGGTTGATACAGATTTTTCTGGTACAGATAATCCTCTATCTGCATTTTCCAGAATCCGAAATCTGATCCATCAATTTTCTCTATTCTCACCTTTCCCTCATCTGCGGCCATGGCTCCCACTTGAATCTGACTTCCTCTAGATCGTTTCACGCTCTGAACAGTTGTTTTGGGAATTTATTTGTTAGGAATTTAACGCCTAAACCCCTAATTGCAACGGAAACGCAGTATAGAACAGTACACCAAGATTTAACGAGGTTCGGCAACTGCCTACGTCCTCGGGAGCCACACAGATAATTTCTTATTAATTAAACAAGAAATTACAATTTTAGGAGCAGATCCCTAAACTGGGATTTCTCAGATAAACACTGTAGCTACAGTGTTAATAGTCAAAGGGTATGAACCCTTTCAATTTCTCTCACTTGAGAATAAATAACCCCACTATAAAACCCCTCTTTCTTTTCCTCTCTCTACTTTAATCTCTTTTCTTAATCTCCCCTCAATACTCATCAATTGAGAGCTGGAGATAAAAAGGCCCAAATCGCAGCTGCGATTTCAACGAAGAGGAAATGAACGCTGCTGCGTTTCTGAGGGTTCCGCCGCCAGAGGGAAAGTCGGAGGAGAGACTCACGCGAACCCTAGGGCACAGAAGGGGGTTTATATAGGCAGAGATGACGAGCTGGCGACAGCCTGTCGCCAGCGAACAAACCCTGACGCAAAGGTCGGGTTCGCCAAAACAAACGCAGAGCTAGGAGGCGAACGCAGAGCTCGCCATCGACGCAGAGCTCGCCATCGACGCAGAGCTCGCCATCGACGCCAGCTGCGAACGAACGCAGAGCTCGCCATCGACGCAGAGCTCGCCATCGACGCAGAGCTCGCCATCGACGCAGAGCTCGCCATCGACGCAGAGCTCGCCATCGACGCCAGCTGCGAACGAACGCAGAGCTCGAAGCTTCGAGCTCGTCCTGTCGCCTGGACCTCGCCGCCTGTCGCCTGGACCTCGCCGCCGCCATCCTGGAGCTCGTCGGAGCTCCTCCGCCGCCGGAGGTTTGTTTCCACCCCTAATTCTAACATTTTTAAAATTATAATCGTACTTCTGGTTGCGTCTGTTTCTTTTAAGGATATAAAAAAAATTGTAAAATTAAAAAAATCTAGTCTAAAGCCGAAAAAGAATGTAATTGTGAAAATTTCACTAGATCATTTGGTTGCTACGTACTCGAGTTGGTAACGCAACTGCATTTATTAGTATCAGCAAAACAAATTAACTGCTGTGCCTCATCATGCGAAACATGTCAGTTAATGAACAACTTGCATAATTGGCCGATGCATGCAGCCGTAGACAAAGGGCCAGGCGGTGGCCCTCCGCGTCAAGGCCAACTTCTCTGCCTTCTACAACTGCGACATCCTGGGCTACCAAGACACACTGTACGCCCACCACAACCGACAGTTCTACCGCAATTGCCTCATCCGAGGCACCGTCGACTTCATTTTCGGCAACGCTGCCGTCGTCCTCCAAGACTGTGACATACAGGTCCGCCAACCCAACCCGGGCCAGAAAAACATGGTAACGGCCCATGGACGCAAGGACCCGGATGAGCCCACGGCTATATCGATCCATCGGTGTAGAATCGGGGCGGAGCCCGGGTTTAACAAATCCTTGAACCCGACGTACTTGGGCCGGCCCTGGAAAGAGTACTCGAGGACGGTGATTATGCAGTCCAATATCAGTGAGGTGATTCATCCGGCAGGGTGGCACGAGTGGGATGGGGGGTTTGCGCTGGATACTTTGTATTACGGTGAGTATGGTAATAGTGGGCCTGGTGCCGGGACGGCCCAAAGAGTTAACTGGACTGGCCATAGGATCATCTATAATTCTACAGAGGCCCAACAGTTTGCTGCTGTGAGTTTGCTTACTGGTTCAGAGTGGTTGGGGTCCACAGGGTTCCCCTATTACCTTGGATTGTGAGTCGATATGGATTTGGGATTGGATATTGTTAGTGAAGTGCAGCATGTTTGTCCTCGAGGATAATGGGAATAATATACGACTCTTTGTTGGTTATATGTTCAACTTGTTTACTAGCACATTGATGATTTAGTTAGCTTGGTTTGTTGTTTAATTAGATGATCATGTAAGACTAATGCTAGCTTAGTTCCACGGAAGAAAAGGGACCCACATCTTGGCTAGCAACATCATAAGTTTAGATTGACACCCACGCATCTTGGCTAGCAACATCATAAGTTTAGATTGACTAACTAATGCCTGGTAGCTGCAGTAAAAAGGTTTCATTTAACCTCACCAGCTAACTAAAAGGGGGGAAAAGAAAAAAAGAGAAGGCTTCATTTAACATAATTGAGCATTTTGGAACTTTACTTCTTGTATAATGTAAATTCAGAGTAAGAATTCTATCAGAATCACTCACGCACGGCACGGTGCATGATTCACTAAGCCAAATAAGGGAAATGGTGAAAAGACCAAACCGCCTCTCTCTAAACCAAAAGGCTGGGCTCAGAACGCCGAGTGAGGGCATTTAGATAGGATTCCTGCTTGTAAATTTATAGTTAATAAAAAACAACTATCAAATTATCCGTACATATCTAGAAGATTATCTATACATAAGGTTTCGTGCAGCTCTTTGGATTTAAAAAAAAAAGTTTATACTTTCGATAGAGTACATGTATGATTTCCTTTTTCTAAAAATGGAACTAAATTGAATTGAGGGAGGATTTGGTCACAATTGACACTAGAATCTCATCCGACTTCAAACTCCAATTGGAGGTCTAGTTCAACTTTGCCAATGTGCGGGCACGCCTATTCACTACACGTACACTTTAAATGTAATGACCTGCACGTACGTTAAATTACATTAGCACCACTACTTTAGTACAAGCTTAAAAACCAAAATGCTCCCTCTTCAATTCCCACTAAACTCAATACACAACCAAATCCTACGACTTCCAACCCCAAACTCAACCATGTCCTCTATGAGATCTTACGGCAAGCTCAACCCCCTCGATCAAGCCAACCTCGAGGCTCGCCAAAAGACAAGGCGTCGCCTCACCATCATTGGCCTCTCGACCTCTGCCGTTGTTGCCATCATCGTTATATCCATCCTTGCCGTAAATCACAATGACTCCTCCGATGACTCAAATTCCAATGACGACAATTAATATTAATGCTTCACCCTTCTCAACGTCAATTAAGGCAATGTGCGATGCCACATTGTACGTATACCCTAACTCATGCATAGAGTCCCTTTCTTCTGTGGCCAACTCTGACCGAGTTCGACCCAGTCAAGCTCTTCAATCTCACACTACAAGTTGCAATCAACGGGCTAACGAAGGTTTCGGACTACTTTCGTGATCTCCGAACAAATGACACGATGAGTTCGTTAGCCGTTGCTAATTGCAACGAGCTCATTGAGCTAGCGATATACACATAAACCATTGTGTAACATCTTCCATCGATTTCAGCAGCAAAGAGCTCGTCGATGACAACAATGTTGCGCGCAGCGGAAATTTCGGCAGCACTTCGGCAGCACAACAAGAGAGTCAGATCGCAATAAGAATTCTCGTCTCACCAAGGAGACAAGAATCTGAAGCGGATATCTCAACCAAGTGAGATATCGGCTCTTCCTCTCATCAGTTCTAGGACTGACCTGTCGAGGGATCCTAAAAGCTATTACAAATCACACAAAAGCAGTACAACCAATTTTTACGTGGTTCGGCAAATTGCCTACGTCCACGGGGCAAGGAGGGGGGAGATCTACTAATAGAGGGAGAGAATACAACTAGGGTTTACAATCACTCACAACCTAAACCCTCAAACAAACTCTCAAATCCCTCACACAAAATCTCTCTACAAAAAGATGCAAAAACCCAACTTTTCTTCTGTCTTTGCACTCCTATGGCCGCCACAAAATTCCGTGCTTGCTTCTGTTCTGCAGCCGAAAAGTTTGCAGCCGACAAACCTCCTCACGCTCTTGCTCCTGTAGCCGCACAAGTGCACAGCCGCAAAAGAAAGAAATCAAAACCTCCCCTGGCACGAAACCCTAGTAACAATTAAACAAGATATTTATAGGTGGAAGCGGGTGGGCCTTGGGTTTCGTCCATCAACTCTTCATTCACGCGTAAACAAAACCAAGTCGGTTTTGTTCTCACGTGGGTGGGGGCCCACGTCCGCTCACAATTCTCCACCTCGGTGAAGTTTTCCCAAAACTGAGCCGACACCAAAGCATCTAAATGTCCCACTTGTTATGTCCAGTACGAACTCAATCCACAACAAGTCGAGAATCCGAACGAGAGTCCAAACAATCTCACCCCATCAACTAATCCAAACCGGCTGCATCATAAAGACTGCCTACGTATCCTCTTGCCCAAGGAATCAAGCCTCCCGTAGTTCATCCAAATGGCCGCCAACGGCCTCAACAATCACGAATGTGCAACAAGTTTCGACAATGATCAAACTTGTTGCTCGGAACCACCTTAGTGAGCATATCCGCCGGATTATCCTTCGTGTGGACTTTCATAATTTCCACATCGCCATCTTCAAGAACATCTCGAACGAAGTGATAACGAACGTCAATGTGCTTCGTCCTCGCATGAAAAACCTGATTCTTCGCCAAATAGATAGCACTCATGCTATCACAATGAATAGTGACGGACCTCTGCGATATACCAAGTTCCTCCAAAAGTCCTCGAAGCCAAATAGCCTCCTTCACAGCCTCCGTAACTGCCATATACTCTGCCTCCGTCGTAGACAAAGCCACCGTAGACTGTAAGGTGCATCTCCAACACACCGGCGCACGGGTCAAAGTGAACACATACCCCGTCGTAGACCGGCGCTTATCCAAATCCCCAGCATAATCCGAATCAACGTAACCAGTACATAACTGCCCACCTGTAGTGTCCCGCTCATAAACCAAACCAATATTGAGCGTACCTCGAATGTACCTCAAAATCCATTTCACGGCGTCCCAATGACCCACTCCTGGATCGTGTATGTATCTCGATACCATGCTCACCGCCTGTGACAAATCTGGCCTCGTACATACCATTGCGTACATCAAGCTCCCAATCGCGCTCGCATATGGAGTCTTCGACATCAACTCACGATCTTCAACTGACTTCGGTGAAAGACCAGCTGAAAGCTTCAAATGGGCTCCCAAAGATACACTAACTGGCTTCGTATCCATGCTAACATGGAATCGCTGTAGAACCTTCTTCAAATAAGCCACCTGTGTCAAACAAATTTTGCCCTTCTTCTTGTCTCTGCCTATCTCCATCCTTAGAATGCGCTTCGCCTCACCCAAGTCTTTCATCTCAAACTCATTTGAAAGCTGAACTTTCAACTCATCTATAGCTGACCTGGAAGTAGAGGCAACCAACATGTCATCGACATAAAGTAACAAATAGATGTACGCACCTCCTTTCAACTTGCGAAAATATACGCAAGGATCAAACTGGCTCCGAGTGTACGAATGACCAAGCATAAAACCATCGAATCGCCTATACCACTGTCGAGGAGACTGTTTCAAACCGTATAGCGATTCTGCAAACCAATTTATCTTTCCCTGCAGCTCGGAATCCCAATGGCTGAGTCATATATATTTCTTCATCAAGATCCCCATGAAGAAATGCCGTTTTCACATCCAACTGATCTAATTCCAAACCATACTGTGCCACCAAAGCTAGCAAAATCCGAATCGAAGAATGCTTCACCACCGGAGAGAAAACCTCATTATAGTCAATTCCTTCCTCCTGTGCATAGCCCTTCACAACCAACCTAGCTTTAAACCTCAATGGAGTGCCCTCAATGCCCTCCTTCTTCGTGTATACCCACTTGCAACCAATTGCCTTCCGCCCCTTTGGAAGCTCAACAAGCTCCCATGTATCGTTCTTATGAAGAGATTCCATCTCCTCCTGCATAGCCACCTGCCACGAATCAGCCTCCGAACTCTGCTCGGCCTCTCTGAATGTAGTAGGCACTAACTCATCGATACTCTCCACCGGAAGTGCATACGCAACTGTGTCGGCATACCGTGCTGGCATCTGTATGTTTCTCCTCTGTCTCCTAGCCGCAATAGAATCCTGAACCTGAGCCGTCGGTTCCTGATCCTGCACATTTGTACTCGTATCCTCCGTGTCATCGTCGTGCTCGCCTGGCGTCACCTCAGTCGGCACCTGCATGGATACTGTACCATCTGGACAATGTGGAGCTGCATCGATCTCCACCACCTGCGATATCTCCTCCGTCGGGTCGCTCTCCACCTGATGAGAGCTGGGAAGCTTCAAGATAGAAGCTTCATCAAACGTGACGTCCCTACTCAGCACAATCTTCTTATCAACTGGATCCCAAAGCTTGTATCCCTTGACACCACGCTTGAATCCTACAAATATGGCCTTCCTAGCTCGAGGTTCCAATTTATCAGTTCTAACATGATAATATGCAGGGCACCCGAATACCTTGAGCTGGTCATAGTCATGTGCTGGCTTTCCCGACCACATCTCCATAGGGGTTTTCCCCTCAATCGCAGATGAAGGCAGCCTATTAATGAGGTGGCTCGCATATGTAAGTGCCTCAGCCCAAAAGATCTTCTCCAAACCACTCTGCGACAATAAGCATCGGATCTTCTCCAGTAAAGACCGATTCAACCTCTCTGCCACCCCATTTTGCTGCGGTGTATGACTAACTGTGAAGTGTCTCTCTATGCCCTCGTCTCGACATAGCTGCTGAAAGGGGTCAGAAGTATACTCACCACCGTTGTCGGATCGCAACGTCTTGATCTTTCTCCCAGTCTGCAGTTCCAATCTCTTCTTCCACTCCACAAACAAATCTAGGACTTCACTCTTCTTCGTCATGGTGTACACCCAACAACGCCTAGAATAGTCATCTACAAAAGTGACGAACCAATGTCGACCACCAAGTGATGCAGTCTTGGTGGGACCCCAAACGTCTGTGTGCACGTAATCCAGGATGCCCTTCGTCTGATGAATGGTAGTCCCGAACTTCACCTTCGTCTTCTTGCCAAGAACACAGTGCTCACAGAACTCAATCTTCCCACTCTTGGCTCCCTTCAATAGCCCCTGCTTGCACAA